CTCCTCCTCCCTGACTGACCTTATCCTTCAGGGTAAATTTTTTCTTCAGGCAGTTGATGACCCGTCCATCCATCTCTTCTCCATTTTTAACATCCTTAAGGACTTTGGAGCAGTGTTTGCGAATGTCCAGCCGGCAGGCCTTCTGTAGGTGGGGGTCCAGCCGGTAATCTGAGATTATGGATGAAACAACGGTGGGTCGGTCTAGTTCATTATTTTTTTTTAAATTATTGTTTTCTCTTTTTTTTTCGGGGGGCATAAATAAGAGTTCAAAGCAGAGAAAAAACAAAACCAAAGGCAAAATCCTATTGAGTGCGTATATCCTTAGCTTTAGAGTTAAAGTATTCTGTGAAGCTAACCGGATAAATGCCCCACGTTTCAAGGAACTGGTTAAGATGGTGGCACTTACTGGAATAACAGGCAGCAACAGAAAATACCAGAGCCTTCAACAATCACTATATCTCTAAATCTCCAGAATTTAACAGAAGAAAATAAGTCCCCTTGAGTAAGACAAAAATTGAGAGAACATTGGAAATGGACTGATAGCCTCACAGTAGTCACGGGGATGCCACTGAGATTTTGGGAGAAAGTACTCGAAATTTTACAAAATTGCCATAACAAACAAAAAGACAGTTGAAAGAAAAGACATAGCTAACGTGGGGTTCAACAGAAAACAAACGCGAGGAATTTAGTTTTAGTTTTAGTTTTAGTAAGAGTTTTACGGCACTTGCAACACAATAAGGTCATGTAAGTGCCGAAGAATAGATTATGCGTTACAAGAGAGTAACAAACACAAAAAAGAAGGAGGTGAGATAAGGACGACAGATGTTTGATAGGAAAGAAGGAGCAGACCACACCAGAGCACCCGCCAACCGCCCACTAAACGCGAGGAATAAAAACGGTTCTTCTTGTGAAAATAATGGGGGAAAAAACGTCCAGGGAAAAACAACTGGAAAGTGGCATCCCAATAGAGTACAGGTGGCACACAAGGGTTCTGGAATTACCCTCAGACTCTTCCACCTCCCGCTGGATTACAATCTTGCGGCAGTGTTCGTCAAAGTCGAAGTTGTCTTTGTGCTCCTTCAGGCAGTCCATGAGCTCTGGTTCGCTAGCGTCTAGCCGGCAGTAGGTCTGTGGACAAGTTTGAATAAAGGCCATCGTTCAGTGTTAAACATTTGTCTTGATTTGATGGACCTGATAGCAGACGTCCTTGTGAGCAAAAGGTTGAATGTTCCATTCCCATTGCAACCTCAAAGATTATATGTTCCATCTCCATGGCTTTTGAAATAGAAAGGATGTAGGTTACAGGGTAGGATGTATTTTTATAAAAAGTAATTTAATCTTTTATTCCTCATTAATCCAGCTATAGATGGACACATGCCAACAACAGAAATGAAATATGCCAAAGAAAGCAGTATGTACTTAACAGGTCTCATAATTCCCAAGAAATTGGATGGTTATATAGGACAGGCCAGACCAGAGAGTTACGGTGAAGTTACGTGAGCCTGATTTCACCAAAATGCCTCAAATATGTTCTTGCATGTGCCACTGCATATAAAAATAAAAATAACTGCATTTATATAGCGCATATCCATGGTCTACAGCATGCTCTATGCACTTTACAACTACTATTACCCCAGCAGACCCTCTGAGAACACTCAGAAACATTCTCGGCTTCCCGGGAAGCATACAGTACAAGCTGCGGATTTCACATACTCAAACACTAACAAACTGACATGATCTTTCACTGTCTATAGCCGGGTACCCATTGCCACCTGGGTGAAGTGAGGAAAATTTGTGCAAAGTGCCTTTCCCAAGGACACAACGTCGGGCCCTAATGGGATTCAAACCCGCAACCGTAATCCAAGAGGCTAACCACTCCGCCATCAACATCCCATATACCCACAGACAAACAAACAGACAAATACCTTGATCATTTTCTTGCACACATGGAGGAATGTGTAGTCTCCAAACTGGGCTTCCTCTTGCTGAAATTAAAAAACAAAACGAAATGAAAGTATGAAAATCACAAACCTCAAAGTTGCTAAATCTAAGCGGGAATCAGCACGCTATATCTGGACACCAGGACAAAAAGTAGTATTTGCTTGACAGCCCCACAGGTCAAATTTTCCAAAACAATCTGAATTGTGTCGATGGGGAAGTAAAAAAATATGTTTTTATTTAATTCCCCCCCCCCCTTCCCCACAGGACACCAAAAACAATTAATGCGACAACACTTCTGCAGTTGTAATACATCTGTAGATAAAATTTCCCATCACTTATTATAAGATAAGATGGTATTTCATTGTCCCAGAGAGAAATTTTCTTGGCAGTACATAAATGGTAAAAATACATGGAGATATACATAGGATTTAAATTACATATTACTCTCATTAAAATTCAATATGAAGAAAGAGAAAAGTAAAGGTGACAATAAAGCACATATCCCATCAGATGCATCTTTCAACCAACCAACTTTGCTTAATATCATATGAGAACCCACAAATTCCTGAACACACAGCACACACAATGACACACACACACACACAAACACAGCACACACAATGACACACACACATAAACACAGCACACACAATGACACACACAGCACACACAATGACACACAGCACACACAATGACACACACAGCACACACAATGACACACAGCACACACAATGACACACACAGCATACACACACACAGCACACACAATGACTCACACAGCACACACAATGACACACACAGCACACACAATGACACACAGCACACACAATGACACACACAGCACACACACACACAGCACACACAATGACACACACCACACACAATGACACACACCCACAGCACACACAATGACACACACCACACACAATGACACACACAGCACACACACAATGACATACAGCACACACAATGACACACACAGCACACACACACACACAGCACATACAAGGACACACACTTCACACACACACACACACACAGCACACACAATGACATACAGCACACACAATGGTAATAACAAATTTTAAAAACTTCGTCAACCACCCATTTAAAGAAAAGAAGGAGACATAAGGACGACTGATATTTGATAGGAAAGAAGGAGCAAACCACACTAGAGCACCTGCCTACCACCCAGCCACACAGTTGGTTTTTTATGTTGCAGATCACAGCAAGCTGGCTTGTTTTATGTCTTAGTAAAAGTTTTACGGCACTTGCAACAAAAATAGGTCTAATAAATGCCAAAGATTAGAGGCGTTAAAAGAGAGTAACATACACAAAATAAGGAGGAGAGATAAGAATGACAGATGTTTGACAGGAAAGAAGGAGCAAACTACACCTGAGCACTTGCCAACCACCCAAAGGCTGGCTTGACAATCATTTTTTGCGCTATAAGCAAGTTACAGAAAGAGCAACACAGACCAGCAGAAGCAGTCCGTACTAAAGACTACACTAACTATCAGCACTCAATCACAGGCTCGGACAAAAACGGCTGCCAAGACACAGGTATGTGGACGGACCCTACCCGCAATCCCCAAACAAACAGAGGGAAAAAACCAACAACAAAACAAAACAACAAAACCAACAACAAAACCAACAACTTCATTACGAAAAAAAGACGAAATAAAGGACAAAAAAACCCAGTGTATTTACTGAAGTATTGAGGAGAGTAAAATGTGCAAACTAGCTAAACCCCCCCGGGGCAGTGCCACTGACCGTAGTGTCTTAAGGCCATTCCCAAAGGGGGGACATTTCTCGTTCAAGCACAGTAGAATTGTAAATGGGCTGATTCATCATGTCACGCTCATAACTGTGCCTGATCTGCAACAGGGAACTGCAGCTTTTCCTTTCCTAATCCTTACTATTGTCATTTTCCTCTACTTCTTTTGTATGTTTGTGAACTGCTATTTACGGGGTGCCTTCATAGTCGAAGCAGACCTTGTGCTGTTGAAGCTAGAGAGGTGAGCAGAGTAAGTCTGATTCCCTGTGAGGACTTCTCTGTTGACACCCACCCCTTGGCGCTCATATGACCTTATGCAGTTGCGAACGCCGTAAAACCCTCTACTATTAAAAAAAACAAAAAAACTAGCCAAACTCCAATCAGCTTCTGTACTATGCAGCCACACCAACTCTTTCTCCAAAGATCTCCACAAAGAAAATAAAAATCTTCCCCACACCAGAAGGCCACATTACAAAAAGCTTTCCATTAAAAAATGTCATTTTACTTTACTCAATACAAGAAATTCTCAGTACGAGAACTCAGTCCTGGTCATAGTACAGATCACATCTCAACATAGGAACTTCGTTGCACCATGTAAAAATTCTCTCACAGCGCACATTCACATATTCCCTCTGCAGAGGAGAGACTTGTAACTCTTCAGAAACACTATTTTCCCAACTTTTTACCCTGGGAAACCCCATCTGCATTTTGTGGACCAGATTTTTAAAAAAACCCACAATTCATTACAAATTTTAAAATACAAACATCATTTGCTCATTGCAGGCATCACGACACAGACAAGGAAATCAATAAAGCTTTTAAATAATTTGTTTTTTGAATGTAGCAGTCCCCAGGAACACCAACACCCTCCAACAGCATGTGAAGAAAGAGATCTAAAAAAAGAATTAATATCACACCCACCTGTCTCTTGAAGATCATCTTGTGGCAAGAACTGCTTAATTTACGTTTGTGGTTCTTCAAGCACTCAATGACCTGTGAAACCATCAGATGAGGAAATGAGAATGGCATTGGTTCAATACACTTTTACAACACTTTCAACCCTTTGACAACTAGAAATAAGAGAATTTCTAAGAAACTTACCCCCAAAAAAGGGAAATTAAAGTGGGGGGGGGGGGTTGATTATTATTTACAATCTGCATAAAACATGAGAAGAAGAACACTTGACCATCCTACATTACAATCCACTCCTGTAGATTCAGGTGCTATAACGAACCAATCGTAATACCTCATACAATGACTAAACTTGTAATCAATTTACATTTAAATGTTATATCACACACTGAGCATTTTGCCTGTGAAATTGAGGAATTAAAAAATCCTATTGCGGAATTAAAAATCCTATCTACTACGATCACAAAGCCTTTTTGTAAAACTCTTTCTCACCTGAGCTTCCCCAGCCTTCACACCGCTGCAGAATTTACTGACGTCGTCTTCACAGGCTTTGTTCAACTCTGGGTCCAGTTTGATTGACTCACTCTGCCCATTCATAGAAAAATAAATAATAATTATAATAATAATAATGATAAT